ACACGGCGGTGCGGGCGCTGAAGCAGCTGGTGCTGCTGCACCGCGAGGACGGCGCCGGCCCGGCGCGCACGGTCGAGTGGCTCAACATGCGCAGCTGGTGCTCGGGCCACCTGCACATCCGCTGCCCCCGCCGCGTCTTCTCGCGCCGCAGCCCCGCCAAGCTGGTGAGCATCCCCTCCCCGGGCGGCCGGCCCCTCCCCGGGGGTGGCCGCTGTCACCGTCACTGTCACCCGCTGTGTCCCCGCAGCGGGAGATGTACGAGAAGGTGTTTGAGAAGAGCGCCGACCGGCACAGCGACTTCTCGCGCCTGGCGCGCGTCCTCACCGGCAACACCATCGCCCTGGTGCTGGGCGGCGGCGGCGCCAGGTGGGACACGCCTGTGCCTTGTCCCCTTGTCCCCATGGCCTGTGTCCTTGTCCCCATGTCCCTGTGTCCCCATGTCCCATGTCCCTGTGTCTCCATGTCCCTGTATCCTGTGTCCCCATGTTCCTATGTCCTCATGTCCCCCTGTCCCTATGGCCTGTGTGTCTCTGTCCCCATGTCCCATGTCCTTGTGTCTCCATGTCCCTGTATCCCCATGTCCCTGCATCCTGTGTCCCCATGTCCCCATTGTCCCCATGTCCCCATGTCCCCATGTCCCATATCCCTGTGTCTCATGTCCCCGTATCCCCATGTCCCCGTATCCCCATGTCCCATGTCCCTGTGTCCCCATGTCCCTGCATCCTGTGTCCCCATGTCCCCATTGTCCCCATGTCCCCATATCCCTGTGTCCCCATGTCCCCGTATCCCCATGTCCCATGTCCCTGTGTCCCCATGACCCCATTGTCCCCATGTCCCCGTATCCCCATGTCCCTGTATCCTGTGTCCCCCTGTCCCCACGCCCTCTTCCCACCCCCAGGGTGCCCACAGCCCCTGACTGATCCCGGTTTTCCCTGGACTGTCCCTGGCAGGGGCTGCTCGCACATCGGGGTCATCAAGGCCATGGAGGAGTCGGGGATCCCCATCGACCTCGTGGGGGGCACCTCCATCGGCGCCTTCATCGGCGCGCTCTACGCCGAGGAGCGCAGCGCCGTGCGCACCAAGCAGCGGGCACGGGAGTGGGCCAGGGTGGGTGACAGGGACACGGCCAGGGTGGGGGACAGGGACATGGGAGTGGGCCAGGGTGGGTGACAGGGACATGGGAGTGGGCCAGGGTGGGGGACAGGGACATCCCCACCCCAGGGACCCCCCCAGCCTGTGTCCAGCTCTGCCCAGCTGGTTCTAACCTGGCCTCTTCCTGTTTTTCTTCCTCTTGCTCTTCTTCCCTCTCCTTTTCTTCTCCTCCTTCTTCTTCCTCTGTTCTCCTCTTTTCCTGCTCCATTTTCTTTTCTTCTCCTTTTTCCTCTTCTTTCTTCATTTCTTTCCCGCTTCTTTTCTCTTTTTGTTTTTTTCTTCCTTCTCCTCCTCCTCCTCCCCAGTGCATGAATTCCGTTTTTGAGACCGTGCTGGACCTCACCTACCCCATCACCTCCATGTTCTCGGGCTCGGCCTTCAACGCCAGCATCAACCGAGTCTTCCAGGACAAGCAGATCGAGGTGTGTCCCCCTCAGATGTCCCCCCCGGACCCCTCCCCGATGTCCCCACGGTGTCACCTAGCCCGTGCCGTCCCTGCAGGACCTGTGGCTTCCCTACTTCAACGTCACCACGGACATCACGGCCTCGGCCATGCGGGTGCACACGGACGGTGAGAGCTCCCTGGGGACACGGCGGGGACACAGTGGGGACAGGGGACAGGGGTGGCATCCTGAGCCCCCAGGAGCTGCTGACCCCACCTTGGGGACATCAGCAGGGCGGGGAGGGGGCAGTTGGGGCTGTACGAGGCGCTAACACTGCTGCTGACCACTAACCCCAGTAACCCCCTGTGCAGCATGGGGACATGGTGGCAGTGCTGGGTGGGGACATGGCAGTGACGGTGGGGACATTGAGGCGGTGGGGTCATCCTGGTGGTGGTGGGGACACGACAGTGGTGTTGGTGACGTGGTGGTGGGGACATCACGGTGGTGGTGGGGACGTGGTGGTGGTGGTGGGACCATTGTGGTGGCTGCCCCTCGTCCTCGCCCGCTGCCGGAGCTCACCTGGGACATTGAGCCGTCCACGGCCACCCGGCTGCCGGTGGCCCCTGCCCGTCCCCCCCGCTGGCCTCTAATGCCCACTAATCCCTGCTGACCCCTCTAACCCAGCCCCCTCCCCACACCGCTGGCTGCCCACATCCCCCCGTCCCTGTGTCCTTCCCCGGTCACCCCCCGCGGTCCCCGGTGGCCGTGACCGTGTCCTCTCCGTCCCCAGGCAGCCTCTGGCGCTACGTCCGAGCCAGTGCCTCCTATACCCCCTACCTGCCTCCGCTCTGCGACCCCAAGGACAGCCACTGGCTGGTGGATGGCTGCTATGTTAACAATGTCCCAGGTCAGCACCTCGCTCGCCGGGGCCACCCCCCAAAAAAACCACAAAACACCAAAAAACCCCCCAAAAACCACCCCAAAACCACGTCCAGAGCGTCCACACCACCGGTCAGGGTGCACCGGGGTTCCTCTGCCCGCCACGGGGCCGACCCGTGGGGCGCAGACGCATCCCGGCGCGGGCAGGGCGAGCGGCGAGGGCGGGTGCCGGGGCGGCGCCGGCGCTGACGGCGTTTCCCGGTTCCGTTCCCGGTTTCCCGGTCCCGTTCCCGGTGCCGTTCCCGGTTCGGCCGGCGCAGGCTCGCTCTGGCGCTACGTGCGCGCCAGCATGACCCTCTCGGGGTACCTGCCCCCGCTCTGCGACCCCAAGGACGGAAACCTCCTGATGGACGGGGGGTACATCAACAACCTGCCAGGCAAGTGCGGCCGCCGCGGCACCGGCGGCACCGCGGGCGCGGGGCGGGGGCTCGGCCGGCGCACGGACAGACGGACGGACGGATGGACACAGCCAGGGTGGAGCGGAGACGCCTCTCGCTCGATTTGGCGGCGTCTCGATGGCGCTGATGGGCGAAGGATGGCTGGCTGTTGTCTGGCAGTGGGTTTTTTCCTGTGTCGGATAGTTTTTCCAGAACGTTCCATGGGTTTTCATGGTCGGGATCCATCCGTCTTCCATCTTCTCCTGGTGGTTTTTCCATGCCAGGCAGCTTTCCAGAACGTTCCATGGGTTTTCATGGTCGGGATCCATCCGTCTTCCATCTTCTCCTGGTGGTTTTTCCATGCCAGGCAGCTTTCCAGAACGTTCCATGGGTTTTCATAGTCAGGATCCACCATGCAGGGTGGTTTTCCAGAACATTCCACGGTATTCCATGTGTAGCATCCATCCTTCATTATCTCTTGATGCCTTTTCCATGCTGGGTGGTTTTTCCAGAACATTCCATGGATTTTCATGGTCAGGACCCATCCACCATCTCCTGGTGTTTTTTCCATGCCAGGCACTTTTTCCAGAATATTCCAGGGTTCTTCATGTGCAGGATCCATCTTCCATTCTTCTTCCCTCATCTCTTGATGTCTTCAATGCTGGTTGGCCTCTTGGGGCAGCTCCACCCTCTGTCACCTCCTGGTGTCACCTCTTGGTATCATCTCCTGGTGTCACCTCCTGGTGTCACCTCCTGGTGCTGGTGTCCTTTCCCGGATGGTTTCCATCCTTCACCTGCCTCGGTCTCCATTCTGCGCCGTCCCTGGGTGTCCTCGGTGACCTCCTGGGCCACCTTTACCTGTCACCGTCCATCTCTGGACGTTCCCACCTCCAGGTGTCCTCTCCATCCTATTTCACCTCCTTCCGTCTCTTGATGTCCTCTCCAGGCTCCTCCGGGCATCTTCTGGCCATTCTGTGTCACCTCTGGTGGCCCTGGGAGGTCACTCTTGTCCCCTCCGTGTGCTGGGGACCTTCCTCCATCCTGCAGCCTCATCACCACCGCGCTGGGTGACTCTGGTGGCATCCTTGGGTCTGAAGCCACCTTTCCCACCGTCATTATCATCCCTAGGTGTCCTCCAGGATCACCTCCACCCCCTTCTCTATGGAAATGACCTTCATCATCATCACCATCATCATCATCCCTTGATGTCCCCCAGGACCTTCTCCATCCTCCTCCCCCACCAGCTTGTCCCCTGATGCCACCCCCCTTCCCATGTCCCCTCCTGGGGGGGACACCTCCACCCTCCACCCCGCCCCCCTGGTGCCCCCTGACGCCGCTGACCGCCCGCCGTCCGTCTGTCCGTCCGTCCCCGCAGCCGACATCGCGCGCAACATGGGCGCCAAGACGGTGATCGCCATCGACGTGGGCAGCCAGGACGAGACCGACCTGTGCAACTACGGCGACTCCCTGTCGGGCTGGTGGCTCCTCTGGAAGCGCCTCAACCCCTGGGCCGAGAAGGTCAAGGTGAGAGCGCGGGGTGGCCCCGGGGGGACAGCGGGAGGTGGCACCAGGGGACACCTGGGGACGAGGCCAAGCTGGTGGAGATGGCTTGGGGTGGAGGAGGATGGAGAAGGTCCTGGGGAACATCAGGGGATGATGATGATGGTGATGATGACAATTCTGGCACTTTCCCACGGGGCCCAGGACCCCCGGTGTCCCCCCGGTGTCCCCCGGCACTGTTGCACTGTCCCGCTCCCCCGGCCGGCCACGGGGGGGCGCTGCTGTAAATTTTCCTTTTTTTGTTGTTTTTTTGTTTTTTGTTTTTAACGGTTCTTACAGAAATCCAGGCCGGCTGGATGGGAATTGGTTAATTGTCGGTTAATTATTGATTAATTATTGGTTAATTATTGATTAATTATTGGTTTGTGGAGTCTTATTGCGCTGGTTCGGGAATTTCAAAAGAAAAGTGGCTGGTGGTGATGGGGGGATGGGAATGGGAAAAATGGGAAAAATGGGAATGGGAAAAATGGGAATGGGAAAAATGGGAATTGGGAATGGGAAAAATGGGAATTGGGAATGGGAATGGGAAAAATGGGAAAAATGGGAACTGGGAATGGGAACTGGATGGGGAGAAATGGGATTTTTTAAATTTTTTGTTTAATCCTCAGTGTTTGGGTTTAATTCCTGAATTTTTATGTTTAATTCCCAGTTTTTGGGTTTCATCCACGGTTTTTGAGAATTTTGCATCCACAGCCCCTCCCCCAGCCCCTAAATCCATATTTTTACTTCCCACCATTCCCATTTTTTTTCCCTCAGCTAAAACAATTCCAAACTCTTTCCAAAAAAAACCCAAAAAAAAAAGCCTTGATCAGGATTTTTTTTTTTTTTTTCCATTGCCAAATTCCAAAAAAAAATTCTCGGGAAATTTCGGAAAATCCTGGGAAATGCCAAGAAACTCTGGGGAATTCTGGGAACTCTGGAAAGCTGCCGAGACATCCTGGGAAACGTTAAAAATTCGGGATCCGCCTTGCCCGAGGGGTGGGGAATTCCATGATTTTGGGGTTCTGGGGGATCGGGGAGGCCCCGGGGCTCAGGAAGGCACTCGGAGGCGGGAGCTGCCCAGCAGCAGCTGCAGGAGCCGATCCACGGAAAAGGCCAGCAGGAAATCGGCCGCCAGCACCGCCAGGATCAGCAGCCGGAACTGCAACGGGGAATTCCGGAATGTTCCGTGGGAACGGGGCACGGATCCCACCCCAAATCTCTGGGAATTCCGGAATGTTCCGTGGGAACGGGGCATAATTTGGGAATTTCCCCCCTGGAAGCGGGGTCTCGCCGGGGCGGGAATCTCGGGGCCCCCTCCCTGGAGCCGTTTCCCCGGAAGCCCCCGGGAGTTGGCTCTGACCTCGGGCGGGATCTCGACGAGGCCGAAGGCCAGGCTGAGCTCGGGGCAGGCGCCGCTGAGCAGCCCCAGCACGGCCGAGGCCGAGAGCAGCAGCGCCCAGAGCAGCGCCCGGTTCTGCGCCAGGCTCTCCATGAAGGGCTGGCCCTGCGCGGGACACTGGTTACACTGGGAGGGCACTGGGAGGGCACTGGTTACACTGGGATGCACTGGGAGGCACTGGGAGGGCACTGGGAGGGAACTGGGGTACGCTGGGAGGGAACTGGGAGGGCACTGGGAGGGCACTGGTTACACTGGGAGGGCACTGGGAGGGAACTGGTTACACTGGGAGGGCACTGGGAGGGCACTGGGGTACACTGGGAGGGCACTGGGAGGGCACTGGGAGGGCACTGGGGTACAGTGGGAGGGAACTGGGGTACAGTGAGAGGGCACTGGGAGGGCACTGGTTACACTGGGAGGGAACTGAGGTACGCTGGGATGCACTGGTTACACTGGGAGGGCACTGGTTTGTACTGGGAGGGCACTGGGGTACAGTGGGAGGGCACTGGGGTACACTGGGGTACACTGGGAGGGCACTGGTTTGTACTGGGAGGGCACTGGGAGCCAACTCAGAAGCTTTGGAGCAGTAAAATGGGGTTTGATGGCACTGGGGAACAGAAATTGGGAAAAATGGGGAGAAAAACGGGAAAAAGCAGGAGAAGCGTGGGAAAGGAAGGTTCTGGAAGCCCCACCATGGGAAAGGAAGGTTCTGGAAGCCCCACCTTGTAGTTGATGGCGAAGGTGGCCGTCTGCATGGCCATGGCCAGCAGGTACACGGTGCTGTTCACCAGCGACGGCTCGAACTCCCGGCTCAGATCCACAAACTCCTCCTCCCTGCCCGGGAAAACCGGGATCAGCCCCGGGATCAACCCCCCAAAAAATCACGGCTCTTAGAGGGGTGGAACTGGGTCTGAAGTGGGTTGGGAGTGGGAAAATGGGAATTTATGGGTTATTCTGTCCATGGGAATGGATAAAATCCTGGGGGATTTGGGGTTGGGTCTGAAGTGGGTTGGGAGTGGGAAAATGGGAATTTATGGGTTATTCTGTCCATGGGAATGGATAAAATCCTGGGGGATTTGGGGTTTTTGATCCATGGGAATGGATAAAATCCTGGGGGATTGGGGGTTTTTTCTATCTATGGGAATGGATAAAATCCTGGGGGATTTGGGGTTTTTTCTGTCTGGGGGAGGAGATAAATTCCGGGGATTTTTGGTTTTTTTGATCCATGGGAATGGATAAAATCCTGGGGGATTTGGGGTTTTTTCTGTCTATGGGAATGGATAAATTCCTGGGGGATTTGGTTTTTTTGATCCATGGGAATGGATAAAATCCTGGGGGATTTGGGGTTTTTTTGATCCATGGGAATGGATAAATTCCTGGGGGATTTGGTTTTTTTGATCCATGGGAATGGATAAATTCCTGGGGGATTTGGGTTTTTTGATCCATGGGAATTCCCTGGGATGGAATTCCCACAGGAAATGGAGAAAAGTGCTCACCGGAGTGGTTTTTATGGGACCAGGGAATGCTGCGACAGCAGGAACCGGGGGGGAAAACCCTGGAATTTTTTGTGGGTAAAGCCTCGATCCCGGAATTCCCTGGGAATTTTTCGGGATTGGGGCCTCACCTGGGCTCGCTGCGGGCCTGAGCTTCCCGGTAGAGGAACACCAGGCTCAGGAAATGCACCAGGAACTGCAGCAGCACCGTCAGCACCGTGTACAGGTTGAAGATGTTGGGAAGAGGCCTCTCCTTGGAAAGAGTCTTCAGGGGCTGGGAAAAACGGGAATAAAAACCGGGAATGTGGCACGGCGGGGGTTAGAGGCCAAATCCTGAAGTTTTTCAGGGAATTGTGCGGGAATGTTGAGTCCAGGGGGGGTTTTGGGTGTTTTATTCCCAGGGAAATTGGGATTTAGGGGCTTTACTCCCAGCTGAGCCAGCTCAAAATTCCAGATTTCCATGGAAAAGCCTCAATTTGGGCCTTTTTTGGCTCCTTCCCACTGCTCATCCCAAAAATTGAGATCCTGAGGGGAGAAATGGCTTTGGGAGGATCCCAAATGCAACATTCCCACCCCTCCACCTTCAGAATAATAATAACAACAATAATAACAACAATAATAATAATAATAATGGAATTTCTTACAATAAATGGGATCTTGGGGAAAAAAAAAAGCCCCTTTTTCCCTCATTTTGCCAGATCCCATGGAATTCTTGGCTCCCACTGTGGATTTGGATCTGGAGCTTTGGGAGCCATTCCAAACCCTATTCCCACCTTCAGAAACCACTTTGTTCTGACCATAAATCTGATTTTTTGGAGGGGGGGAAGCCCCTTTTTCCCTAATTCGGGATAAATTCAGGAATTCCAAGCTCAGACCCGGAGATGAGGAGGAAATCTCGGGATCACCCCAGAGCCTCCCCCCGCCAGACCGCGCCGTTCCGCGACCCCAGACGGCATTTTTTCAGGGATTTTTTTTGGGATTTTTTTGGGGGTTTTTCCCCCGCTCCACGCCCTCTCCCGCGGAATTCCCGGCTCCCACCTTGGAGCGGGAGATGAAGAGGAAGCAGCCGGCCAGGAGCAGCCCCTGCAGCGTGGCCTGCAGGTCGCTGAACTTGACGCCCTGCAGGAAGAGCACGCTCTGGCTGTAGGCCAGCACCAGCGCGTTCAGGGCCAGGATCTTGAACATCTGCAGCGTGGTCACCAGCGTGCAGCGGCCCTGCTTGATCACGTGGCAGACTGGGAGGGAAAAAAAAACGGGAATTTCGGGAGTTAGGAACCTGGGAAAGGCCGGGGAGGGAGGGGAGAGGGGGTGTGGGGCGGCCGTGAGGGGAAAAAGGGCAGGAACTGGGGAGGGGATGGGCTCAGGATTGTTTAGGGTAAAACCGAGGATAATCCAGAGCCCAAGAGCTCCAGGGTTTGGGAATTCTGAGCTGGACTGGGCTCAGGATTGTTTAGGGTAAAACCGAGGATAATCCAGAGCCCAAGAGCTCCAGGGTTTGGGAATTCTGAGCTGGGATAAGCTCAGATAAAACCACGGATAATGCTCAGCCTCAAATCCAGAGCCCAAGAGCTCCATGTTTTGGGAATTCTGAGCTGGACTGTTCAGATTTGGGCTTTCCCCCATTCCCACCCCATTCCCGGGGTTTTTCCCCCTTTTCCCGGGCTGGGCACTCACTGCACTGGATGGAGGAGAGTTTGGAGGTGAAGGGGGCGGCGATGCTGGCGTCCCCCAGCTTCACCACGGGGGCCCTCTCCTCTTCCAGGTCCCTCAGCACCTGGCTCAGCCGCTCCTGCGGGACGGGAAGTTCCCAAAAATCCCAAAATCACGCGGGATGGCCGGAAAACGCGCTCCGAATCCGGAGGGAAAAGAGCGAGTTTGGCATCGGCGGTGATGGGGTGGGAGGCGCCTTCCCACCCCCAGAATTCCAGGATTTATTCCCTGTTTATCACAGATCTCAGGTCCCTTCCAGCCCCGAGAATTCCAGGGTTTATCCCCTGGTTTTATGTCAGTTCCCACCTCCAGAACGCCTGGATTTATTCCACGTTATCCCTTTTCCCATCAGAATTCCATCCCTTTTCCTCCATTTCCCACGGGATCCACGTGGAATTTTGGGAAGTTCCTTGCCCACACATCAAGACTGGACTGGGATCAGATCCGTTCCCACCCAAACCATCCCAGCATTCCCATTCCCTAAATCCCTCCGCTCCCAGGGTTGAAAATTCCCAGCTAAATCCCAATTCCCGACTCAACGCCAGGGCTGAAAATCCCGGGATAAATGGGAATTCCCACCCTGTGGACGGCCAGCTGCTCCTCCCGCTGGGCCAGGAGGCGCTGCTTGGCTCCTCGGGATGAGGGTTTGACATTCCCGGCCGGAATTCCGGGCCTGCTGTCCCCGAAGCCGTCCCGGGGCCGTCGCTTCCGCTCGGGAACGCGCTCCGGAGCGTTGGCCAGCAGGGCCACGCCTGGGGAGGGGGAAAGGGGGAAAGTCAGGGGAAAATCGGGGGGGAAAAGAAGGAAAATTCAGGGGGAAAATCAGGGAAAATTTGGGGGAAAAGAGGTGGGAAATCAGGGAAAAAAATTGGGATAGATTAGGGAAAAATCAGGGGAAAAAATGGGGAAAAAACAGAGAAAAAACAAGGGAAAAGCACAGAGAAAAACAAGGAAAATTCCCTCTATTTCCTTTCCTGGCCCCAAAGAACCAGCTCCAAAAGCTGGGAAATGCTGGGAGTGGCACGGCTGGGGTTGGGATCTGGGGCAAATCCAGGGAATTTTGGGAACGTGCTCACCCACGTCGGCGTGTTTGAGCGCTCCCACGTCGTTGGTGCCGTCCCCGCACATCAGGGTGCAGTAGCCGAGGCTCTTCAGCGCCGTGATCACGAATTCCTGCCCGGAAAAACACCGGGAAAAGCTCCCAAAATCCCGGAATTCCCAGCTCGGAGCGGGGTGGGAGGATGGGGACAGAGTGGGATTGGTAGGAAGGCTCCGAATTCTGGGAATTCAGGGCTGGAAGAGGCTCAGGATTCTTTAGGATCAAACAGGGCCATGCCCCATTCCCAAACCCACAAAATCCCAGGAACTCAGAGCTGGAACGAGCTCCAAACTCTTGGGGATCACCCTAGGGCCATCCCCGCATTCCCGAAGATCCCAAATCCCGGGAATTCCCCTTGCCAGCCCCCCTCACCTTCTGCTTGGGCGCCACCCTGGCGAAGACGCGGATGTGGGGGATGAGGCGGAGCAGCCGATCCCGATCCCGCAGCCGGAGCTGCTCCAGCCCCTCCCCGGTCAGGCACAGCTCGAAGGGATCCGTCAGATCCCGCAGGGAATCCGGGAATGCCGGAAGAGCCACGGACCCGTCCCGGGAGCGCCACTGCCAGGGCAGCCCTGGGGGAGTGGGACTGATCCGGGAGGGGTTCCAGGGGGGATTCCAGGGGGGATTCCAACCCTAATGCCCACCTCCATTCCCAGCTCCCCAGACCCCTCTAATCCCGGAATCCCAGAACCCCCTGGCAATTCCCACTCCCATTCCTGATCCCATTCATTCCTGATCCTACTACCATTCCAGATCTCATTCCCATTCCCATTCCTGATCCCACTCCCAATCCCATAAAATTCTGGAATCCCAGAACCCCCCAGCCTTCCCACCGTTCCCATTCCCACCGTTCCCATTCCCATTGTTCCCATTCCCATTGTTCCCATTCCCATTGTTCCCATTCCCATT